AGCGTGAAGGGCTGGAGCGACCAACCTGGCCTCGAGGAGAGGAATAACCGTAGCATTTCTTCTAATTGATGCTTGACTTTTTTTCCCGTTTCCATATGGTCTCCTGCGGCCCCGAGGCCCCGAGGTGTGGTGTTATTAAGCATCATTTTAACCGTCCCAGACAAGTCTTTATTACTGTTTTATTTTTAACAGTCAGTATGTCTTTACACTCACCAATATATCCGTTTGCTAAATGTTCTCTTTTAATTATTCTTATTTCTTTTCTATCCCTCTGAAAGAACATTTATAGTTACTGATTCATTCAACGAGTATTTCTTGGGCAGCTCCAGACGCTGCAGGCCCTCGTCGTGCAAATCCTGCTCATTTCACTCAGTCGGTCAGTCAGCGTTGTCTTTGTCCCTGCTGCAATGTCTGGCTGCTGTCGTGGTGGCTTTTCCTCTCTGCTGAGCTGTCTGACTCAGTGCTGCTGGTGCGTAGGGGCTACTGGTTTGCGAGGGTCCCCTGCCTAACCGGACACCTGAGCGCTCTCTACTCACGGGTCCTAACGCGTCCCCGTGGCTTTCCTTGGGTTCCCATGTAGACAGTCAGGTTGGCTGCAGATTCCTCACTCCGCCTCCGTGTGGGGCGCTCGGGGCTGGCCCGGAGTCCATCCTCGCAAGCGACCGGGGCCACGCTGGACTTTCCGGCCCCTTTCTGGCGTTCACCTATCTATCTGGGCGTAGCGAGACTCGGCTTTCCTGCGGGGACGTCATTTACAGGAGAAACAGGATGCGGCCGGGAGGAGGGAGGATTTGCGACTGGGGAGCTGCGGGCGGGGCCGTGGGCCACCTCCAGCGACTTGCGTTGGGTGCTTAGTCTCCCTGAGTGATGGCTGGTGGCCAGTAGGATAAAAACGTAATCGGAGTCACCATTTACTTAACTATTTCCTCCCTGTGCAGGGGTCCTGGGCTCAGAAAGTTTAGGGGCACAGGCGAGGCGGGGTCAGAGCCGGGCCTCCCTGGGTGTGTACTCACAGGAGCCGGCCAACAGGCGTGAACACGGCAGGCGTGAATACGGAAATGCCGCGAAGAGACTGGAATCGGATGTGGTCCCTGGCGATCTGGCTGGCATTTAATTAATTAATTAAAATTTTCAGGCGAGGCAACCCTTCCAAGGACCTTGTCAGCTTACAATCCCTTATTTTTTACTTTTTACGCCTACAGCACCGGGTCTTCCTAGGTGGTCTCCCATCCAAGTACTAACCAGGCCCGACCCTGCTTAGCTTCCGAGACCAGACGGGATCGGGCTTGCTCAGGGTGGCGTGGCCAGAGACTTATCTGGTTATTTAAATGGCGAGACCAAAGGGCATGGGAGGGGACATGTGGAGACCTGGTGTCCTCCTATTTCCAAAGTGACAAAGGTGGCACCCCAAATAGAAAGTGCGGCTTGCCAGGGTCCTGTCTGTGTCCCAACAAAGCAAAGGACCCGGGTCAGAAGAGAGCACCGGACACCATCAGGCTTCACAGGCAACAAGAAACGCAAACTGCCCAGAGTGTACAGGCAAATTGAGTTTGTACAGTTCTATGTGGCAGATTCAGAAATTTTCTGAAAAATGTATTTAGCTGGCATACTCTGAACACATCCCCTGGGAGCATGTGACTGTGACTGCCACAGTCAACAAAAGGCCTTTTAATTCCCTTCATCTATTCACGGAATCTACCGAATATTTATGGATCGTAAACAAATTATCTTGTATTCGAGGAAACTGCAGCAGGGATGGTCAGAGGGAGGGACCCTCACGAGGCTGAGGCGGGACTGGACGGCAGGGAGCAATCGCCCTGCAAAGCGACCGAGACGGGGGAGGCGCCTGCCGTTGGCCACCGAGAGCCCAGCGACAACATCCCCAACCCTGAACACAGGCACGAGCCACACTGCCATGGACAGTGTCTGCGTCATTCCACAAGCCCTAACCCCCAAGGGCACAGTACCAGGAGGGGCGTCTGGGAGGGGCTTGGGTCAGGAGGGTGCAGCCCTGTGAATGGGATCAGGGTTCTCCCAAGAGGCCCACACAGGGGACAGCGTGACTGGGGAGCCGACCGCTGCGGTGTAAGGGGTGCCAGGAGGGAGGGGACTCTCGTGTGGAGACGGCTGCGGAGACAAAGGAGGGACACACGGCACCTCGAGTGCCCAGGGCAGGGAGGGTCTGGGAAACACGGGGACGGTTTACACACGGAGACGGCACATGAGGTTTCCGCTTCCCTCTTGTCGCCCTCCCGGTCACCTTGTGCATTTTCCTCCTGGGAGTTGTTCTAATGAGCGCACTGGCCAAGCTCCTGGGCTGCTCAGCCCCAAGGACGTCACCCCAGCCGGCCCCACAGATGCCCGCACAGGCTGGTGGCTGAGAAGGGGGCCAGCTGAAGGCGCCCCTCTGGCCCCCGCAGAGCCACGGCTCCTGGTCCGAGGGCTGAGGGCAGGGACCACAGAGGTGGTGTCGTCTCCCGTCCAGGTCTGACAACCGTCCACCCGTAAGGAGAACCTACCCCGCAGGATTCCCAGGGGGGGCCTGCAACTAACGCCTGTCGACCGAATGAGGCTTTCGTATTTTCAAATGTATTTTCACTTTTATTTAGGAAAGAGCAGTGGATCATAGAACAATAGGACACCTCGGGCTGCTGTCACAGGCAGAGGGAGCGAGCGTCATGGAGTGAGCTGGAGGGACCAGTAAATGCTAAGAACGGGGTAGAGACAGCCGAGTTCAAAACCCACCAAGTTCATGACGACATAATGCACCTCTCGTGGCCCCGCCCATCTCCCGACGGAATGGCGGTGAGGAACTGTCCCGTCAGAAAGCACCCCAGCGGTGACAGGGCCCCGCCGTGCGCCCTGCCCCAGGCAGTGCCCAGCAGCATTCCTCCGCTGCCTCAGTCCCACCTGCCCTTCAAGAGGTCATGACCTCCAAAACCCCGTTCCCTCAGGATCTAGCTAGTGACAATGGATCGTGCCCTGGCATTTCTTCCCGAGGCCACAGGATGAGCAAGGACAAGCCCAAGGAGAGCCGGCGACCAGCAGCAACACGGAACTCACGTGAACGACACGAGAGCTCCATTCTAAAGCCCCCCAGTCACTGTCCCCATCGCCACAGGTACAGCAAGGGCAGGTGGGGAGTAACTTCCAGGGGCTGCTTTGTAAAACCTCATTGAACCGAAGGGCTGTCTGGGGCTCTCTGCGAAGCTGGCTCGAGCCGTGAGTCCCAAGGGCATCGTTTCAGAAGATGGTCGGAATTTAGGCCGCTCTCTACTTCACACGCTCTTGGCCTGGAACCAAAGTCAACACCTGGAAAGGTTTACGGAGTCTCGTGGGTTCCCCTGAAGACGGAAGTGCTGCTCAGTGTCCCCTCAACCAGGACAGTGGCTTCGAGACACACGGGCGCCATGAGACAGTTGCTCTGAGGTCTCAGGGTAGGGATGCGACTCAGGCTGCGACTGGCTCCGGTCAGCAGCTCCCCTGCTACTACCACTGCGTATCTTATCAAGCAGGACACAAAACGGACATGTCTCAGCTTGTGAAATTAAGGAACGAATTCTCCGACCTAGAGAGAAATTTGTGACAAAGCAACTCTGTGCACAGAAGAACATGTTTCTAAAAGCCGCCGCCAAGCTAGCTCTGCGTTTAAAGTGATGCTTTAACCAAAACCTGGAAGCAAGCAGCCATGCAGCCGGTCCCCGGCCTGTCCCTAGCGGGCCAACCACCTGCCTGGGGGACACCGCTCACTGGCTTCCTCCTTCGTCCCGCGGGGCTCAGACTTTTCACACTCTTCCAGACGAGGCCAAGAATGCTAGCAGAAAGGAGTGTATTATCTATTTCACAAAAGACGAAAATCTGTTCTGGATGAAACCTTTGTAAGGTTTCAGTCTGGCTACAGGATTCTGATATTCGGAACAATGTCCTAAGTAGAATTACAGTGCATTTAAATCATGGTACAAATGAGAAGCACAGACTGTGACTAAGCAACGAATCAATGAAGAAAAAATTAGAATACAGGTTTTAATTTCTTAATGCAGTTACAAAACGCTCACAACGGAGGACTCCCCAGACTGGATGGGCAGGGGGGGCAGTCGAGAAGCACGCTCCCCCGTGCCAGACACAAACGCACACGCCCCACACGTACCGACAGCCGGGTACAAGATGTCGTCAGGAAGCACGTTTACCTGTGCCAGACACAAACGCACACGCCCCACACGTACCGACGACACACACATCGGCTCACCTAACAAGGAAACGTGAGGAGTCGTCTCATCACAGCTCAGAAAAGGAAACAATACAGGGTTGAGGAATCAAAACAATCCCTTTAAGTTCGCGCTTCAAAAAGATTTAATATTTCCAAATAAAAGACTTTCCTGGTCAGATACCAGGGAAGATAAGAAGGGCTGGCCACGCCCCAAAGTCCATTTTCTTTTTGTGCTTCACAAATCCACAGAATGAAAAGGTACAACATGGGCCAAGAGTTATGATCCGGGTAAGAACTAAAACATACATCAGTGAAATCCACCTACTTGGTAATGAACTATCGTTATGTAGTGTCCACAAGAACTTACTCACAGAGAGGACTCCATGTGACTCTCCCACGCACGCCAGCGGCTCGAGTGCCCTTGCTTTTCACATGTGACACTGCAGAACCCGAACCCAAAGTTCCCCACCTGCCCATCTTGAGTCTGAGAATTAAGTACACTTGTAAAAGAACGTATTTGGATTTTCAGCTGTGCTAACTAGTGTCACATACACATTTTACACAAGGGATCCCGTCACCCCTCGCATGCAAGATACGGTCTACAGAGGTTTAGGATAGGGGACAAACAGCGAGCATAAACACACACGGCTCCCGTCCAGCGACACCATCACAGAACCATGGCGGACAGCGGAATGAGCCAGGAACACGCTTCCGGTCACCGACTCCGCTTTCCTTGCTGTGACCGCGCACTGCTGGTCTTCTCCGTGTGTGCCCACTGCTGGCCGTGGCGAAGAAATCCTTTCTCCTCTCTGCTCTCCACATGACCTGTGAGAAGACAGAGCACGAGACTCGCTCCTCGCCGGGAGCTGCAGCTGTGAAGTTCCGGAGGCCCCTGGCAGGGCCGGGCCAGCTGCTCAGGGTGAGCTAGTGTCCCATCCCGGCCGGAAGGGGACTCACTCTGGGACAAGGTGCCATGTCTGGTGGCCGCAGCCTGCTGGCCGCAGCAGACAGTGCTCAGTCTGCCATACTGCAAGTCCCCCCAACCCCAAACTGGACGGCCAGGCCGGCTTCTGTTCCTAGAACGCAGGGTCGCGAGGGGGCCGCCCGTGACCTCAAGCGGGAACTGCACTTGTCATTAGTTCACTGTTCTCACGAGCTTCGTGTTCAGCAACCGGTACTGAGTAATAACGACCCATCTAATTCGCAAAACCAGTTTCTGTTTCAACATTTAAGGGGCGCCCGCCGCAGGCCGGGCACTGAGCTGGGCACCCGCAGTCCACACGTGCTCGCCGCCCTGCGGCTCTGCGAGGCCAGGCTCGCGCCCACTGTCCAGTCCGGGAGACCGAGGCCGCCGGGTGGTAGAATCGGGGCCTGAATCTGGGTGTCTTTAACTGCAGGTTCAGTCCAGATCGGGGCTCCATTCTCCAGAAAACACGGCCGGCCGGCCCCAGTCCTCGTGGGTCCCTGAAGTCCATTTCCGGGTTTGGTCTCCTACTCGCCTCTAGAAGACTCTTTTTTTTGAAGTTTGGAAAAATACGACGTAATGAAAAAAAAATATTGGTGTACAGTGTGGGGTTCAGCACACGTGTTCTGTAGGGTCCGGCTGGAGCCCCTTCCCGTCTGCGTCCCTGGCACAGCAGGAAGTGTCCCACCTGTGACCACCTCATCGGCCCCCATTTCCTCCTCCGAGCTCAGGCCTGCGGTGACCCTCGGGCACAAAGGAAACAGGCGAAGGAAAAATGGAGGGTGGGTGCCCCTCCACGGTGACCAGCCTGCAAACACAGACCGCCTTCGGTTCCTCTCGACCGTGAGCCCTCGGGTCCCCCTGCCTAGGGTCCGGCACGGAGGGCGGGCGGCCTGTCTTTTCCTCGCTGCCCATCTCAAAGGTGAGGAAACAGGAGCTCACAGAGGGGCGAGATTCCCCCACGTTCCAGGACCATCGCGCCCAGACGGACGGAACCACGTGCCCTGGACCGTGAGAAGCCGGGCAACGGAGAGCCGACTCCCCACATCGCCCCACGTGCGAAAGGCGGCGAGCAGGCACCAAGGGCAGGAGTCTAACACGTCACAGGTAAGGCCGTCCTCTTTGGTCACCAGGAAACCTTAGCTTCGGCCTCGTGTCGTCATGGACACCTCTGACACATTCCCATAAGCACTCGCTCTGGACAATGTGCCACCAAACAGAGTCCAAGGCCTGGTTCTAGGGGCACAGTGGAGAGTGCTCCAGGTCTGACACAGGTAGACTGCCCTGCTCAGGCCCTCGCAGCTCCTTGGACAAAGGGCCGCCGTGCTCAGTGCTCGGCAGATGCCCATCCTCATCAGATCTGTCACTGTGGGTCTCGTTTCGTCAGGGATCCGCTGACAGACATGCTGCAGGTTTCAGAAGGAAGCTTAGTGTGTCCACCTTCATCTCTGATGGACACAGCACCGATGCTGCCGCCATGCGTGACCCGTGTCCAGACCCCTGCCGCGGTCAGCGCTCACGCGAGGTGCCTCTGCCTTGGGCTTTCACCCTAAAACCACCACCGCACACGCAGCCTGAGGTGCACGCACTGACCCCGAAGCCGGGGACTGCAAAGTCGGGTTAGCTCAACCAAGCCCCTCTGCCTCTTACGACACCTCAACGGCTACGACCCAGACACGAACGTGACCTGAGACAGACACCTACCTCTGACCTGCTGTCCAGAGCCCTAAAAAGGGCGGACCAGTGAAGTATCTCTGCCTTGTCACCTCTACCCTTAACCGTCACAGTCCAAAAAATCCACAACGGTCCTTCATGCCGCTAACTACGCTCACGTTCCCTCGAAACGTGACCTGCGTGTGTGTTGGTCTGGAATGCAGAGTTTGAGGTATCTGAGGTTTAAATTCTGTAAAAACGAAAAGGAAAGCCAGGCACCGCCTCGCAGCACTTTGCCGAACAGTTTCACAAGATTAAAACAGAAAAGGCACAGACGACCCTTGAAGGCGGTGTTCACGGCCGACTTCCCTCCCGTGTCTCCACCCGTCTCTACCACGCCCGACACAGGCACGAAGAGCCGCAGAGGCAGTGGGGCCTCGAGGGAAGAAGACAACTCAGGACTCATCACGTTTTAACTCTGTGCTATATGGGCATAGAAATAGCTACAAACTGCACCCCCCCCGCAAAAAAAAATAAAAAAGATTAAAGACAGACCAGAAAATTTAATTATACCAATGAGGCCACCTTCCTTCGCTCCGGCATTGCCAGGCATTCTTTCAAGTTCACTCACTGTCAGAAGGAAAGAGTTTTAGCATCAGAAAGAACCTCTCTCTTCCAATCCCACATGGAAATTAAGATCAGAAACACAAGTCCACCACGGAAGAAAGCCCAGAATAGTCCAATTTGGAAAGAATTTAATTAACAAAATTAAGCGAAAAACATGGCCGAGGCGGGGCTCTGGGGGAGAGGACCCCTCCCCGTGGCCGCCGCCCACCCCGGCCCTGGGGTCCCTGGCCCTGCCCCAGCAGAACCGGCCCCCCAAGCAGCCCCGCTCTGCACGGCGTGCGCTCTCGTACGTACAGCTTGTCCAGCCACACGACCACGACTGGGCAGCGAGTGGCCGCTAGCTGTCCTACGCTGGCTTGGCACATTAACGCATGCAAAGCAAGGAGGTTTCAAGGGCTTGACCAAATAGTTAATTTTGGCAAAAAGAGAAAATAAACAGAAAGCTAAAATTCATAAGCAGGATTAAAAGCCACTGAAGTGAAAACCACGTACTCCTCAACAGTAGAAGACAAACTACAGCTACAATCTTTTTTTTTTTTTTCTTTTTCGGTCTCTGCCATCCTCTCCCCGAACTGGTTAAAGTTCATAGCAGCATAACACAAAGTCCTCTGTCAAGCCAGTGTTCTCCGCGCTGGGGTCAGAGTCCACAGGTCAAGTTCAGTCCGTCCGAAGAATCATGGGAGGATGCTCGCTGTCCTCCCCCAGCCGCAGGGCGCTGGCTTCGTCTTCCAGACAAGTGCCACCCGCTGCACCCAGCTCGTCTGTGTAGGCTGCAAAGAGACAGTGCGTCACCTCAGGCTGGGGGGTGGAGCAGCAGAGCCCAGCAGCCAGGCCAGAGGCTGGACTGGGCACACGAGGGCGTTTATAAACAGCAGCCCACACGGAGACTCAATTTTCAACTCTCTTCTAATGAACTTTCTGCAGCCTTAGGCAGCTCAAGATTAAGTACTTTATTTTCCAAAATTTGTAAACGTGGAAAAGTACGTGGGGCTTCCTGTCGGGCAGGCCATACATCTCCCTCACTCAACAGAAAGACTGGCAGCACTTCGCGAACTGGTTATGTGGGATGCTCAAACGTTAAGGACACCAGACGCTTGGGGCATCATCGAACTGAAAGGCCACCTCATTTCAAAGGGTAACGGTGACTCCCCCATCTGTACGCTCACCAGCCAGCTTCTGCGGCAGGAGGCCCCTGGACGCAGGCCGGTCCTGCTGCAACCCTCCCTCCTCACAGGGCCCCGGCGCCAAGGGGTGTCCCATGCATATTCAATGAATGACCACACAGGCCACAGGGTAGAGACTCAAAATAAACACTTGACGGTGGTAGGTTTAGGGTCATATTTTAGCTGAGAAGCAGCAAGCCAGAGCAAAATTTACGTCCACCCAAAGCAGCCTTAGCCACGATGACTACTTTTCATCAAAGAGGAAGAAAATGAATTTGGCCCTGAGAGGCCTTGAATAGCCAGTACACAACGGCCTGCCCCTGTCTGCGCTGTCACTGCCCGCCAGCAGGAGGCGGCGGGCCGGCAATTGTGATAAGGGCGGAAAGCACTGAGCATGAGCTGTGGCGGGAGATGCTGGCAGAATTTACCTTCCAGGTTTGTGTCACAGCCCTTACCAAGTCTGGTCGGAGATGCAGGCATGTGAGTACCTTTGGCTACAGCCGTGCTGTAGGTCTGAGTGACTAAGGGGCAGTCGTGAGAGGCGGAGTCTAAGATTTCATTGGTCGTCTCCACACTGCCATCCAACCTGGAAAAGACGAGAAACAAGACCAGTGAGGCTGGTCCGGTGCGACCTGGAGGGCCAGACCAGCAGCAACAAAGGCAAGAAAGGCCACCTGCCAGGACACTCGCATGTGTTCGTAACCCTACGGTGACTTGAAAATAATTCCTGTGAATGGGTTCACTTGGACTTTTACACGGACAGTCTAATGGAAAGCAGCTATACCTAGTGAGAAAGTCTTACTTCACTTTTAAGTCTGATGACCACGAACAGCATTCGCTATATGAAATATCACCCCCGACTTCCACCCCAATTATAACACTATCATAGTATCGTTGTTATAACTTCTGAATAATAATAAAAAGCAAAAGCAGAACATTGAACTGCACTTTCCAATTAAATATTAATTCCTCCTTTTCAAAGAGAAAATCTCTCTCAGTGAGAGGCTCTCAAAACACGTGCGCCGCACTGTGACGACGCCGTGTGCATCGGCCCTTTCTCATGAGACGATCCCCAGGGGAGGGCCTGGGTCCCCCTCTGCTGCTGCCATCTCTGAACGAGGACACCGGCAGGGGCGTGGGGAGCGGGACTCTGTGCCCACAGTAAGTTGTCTGGGACAGCATGGCTCCCCAATGGCACGGCCACACTGGATGCGTCCCTTTGTGTCCCTGGCTTTCAAGGGAATGGACATACACGCAGGTGCCCGATGGCAGATGGTCACACGGAGAGCACCTGGGGCGGCAGTGGCGGCGAGGTCCACTTACTTGTGCTGTTTCATCAGGGTGCACTCGCCTCCTTCCTGGGGGTCCAGGTTGTACATGTACAAGTAGCCATCAGAGGCCCCAACCAGCAGCCGGGGAATCTTCTGAATTCTAGGGAGAATGAGCAGCAGCCACGTTCCAGGACCACAGCACTCACAGTCCTCGTTAAACCTGCAGCCTCGCCTCCGGCACGGCCAGGGGATGTCCCTCCACCCTCCGACAGGCACAAAATACATTTCATGTGCTTGACACACTGCGTACGGTTGGATAAAGACCATGTCCACTGCACTACCCGAGGCCGTGACATCAAGGCTAAGGTGTGCTTCATGTGAACAAACACAGATGCCCACAGGAGACTAGTTGGGGACACAATCAGTTTCAGGGTTCTCCGCCTACTTAGGGTAGATACTTTCAGACAAATTCCTTCTGTGCGTCTGCAGCTGCCCAGAGAGCCCGGGACCATGAGACACCGCTGGTTCTGCAGGCCCGAGGGGTAAGGCTGGACAATGTCCAGGGTTTTGACCTAATGACACTTTTTCACGAACATTCTACACACTCTCAAGAAAACCAAAGGAGAGAGATGTTTGGCGTGAGAACACTGCAGAGGAAACAGCCACGTCGGACAACGCGTTCTCATGCCAAACAGGAGCACTCTGCAGACTGTCCTTGGGCCCGGAGAAGTGTCAGGGAACCACGCTGGCCACCATCTCTGGGTGTCCTTGGGCAAAAGGGAGGGAGTCTGCCCGCCCCTACTCACGTGGCTAGAGAGCAGATGTTTTTGTGGCCACAGAAAGGCAGGCGGACTGTGGCAAAGGCTCTGCCCTGGTTGAACATTTCTGTCACTTGGGAGGGCAAGTAGCTGGTGGAAGCCATGAGAACCTTCCCGAAGTAGCCGGTCCAGGTGGTGGGCTCCTCCTGAGGTCTAGGAGGGAAGTCACCAGACACGAAACTCACTGAGACAAACCGTCCCACCTGCGCAGAGGCCGGGACCCGCTCTGAAACCCGACAGCTGGAGGGCTGCAGACAACCATGACCTCTCGAGACCCTGGGACGTTAGAGCATGCGTCCCTGGAAGGTCGGAGGAGAGGGCCACTCAAGCGTCTGAGCCTGGAAGGGCCATGTTCCTCCCGAGGTCACGGCCAACGATCTGTGGCAAACGTGAGGATGTATAGGGCCAAATCCACGATCCAACCCTGATCTTTTTAACAGGAAGTCTCTAAAAACCGTAAAAGCACAAATTTCAAAGTCATTTTCCTATAGCCCCTTTACGCTGCTGTTCATCTTGTACATATTTGTATGTTACTGTAAATGCTCCTTTGAGTAAGACAGTATACACTAAACACTATCGATCCTAGTGGGATGTCTTTTTAAAACTCAAGAAGAGAAAACATAGGAACCACCCCTTCACCGCACATACCCCTTTCAGTAACACGACTTAGACTGCATTAAAAACGAGAAGCCCTCACGGGCGGGCTGGAGATGAGTGTTCCCTCCAATGGGCACTCCGCTCACACGCGCCTGTGTGTGTACGGCACGCGCTGAGGTGGACGTCTGCGCCCACCCAAAGGCAGCCACCTTCACCCCCACGCTACGCCTCACGCCGAGCACACTTCCCACAGCAGACGGTCACCCTGCGGGACAAACCCCTTCTGCTGCGGAGTCTAGATCTGGTGACACGGATCCTAGAGCCAGCGCCAGGGTCTCTGTTAGCAGAAACGTGAGACGGCAGGACAGTGCCCGTGCTCACACTTTGACGCAGTCAGCGCTCTGCAGCTTTTTAAACAGATGTATCTTCGCAACTCACTTTTCTTTCACGGTCTCGAGTTTGAAGATGTGCACAGTCTCAGTGTTGCTGGAGGCGGAGAGGAACATGCCGTCCATGCTGAAAGCCAGGGAACAGATGCTCACACACCTGGGGGACAAGGTGAAGGGGTCGGAGTTATGCCGCCGCCCAGAAACGCTGAGGGTGACCAGCAACCTTCCCGAGGGACTTTTACCTAAAGCCACAGAGAAGAAAAGCCCCCATAACGGGCACACTTTCTTACTGGCATTTTTCTCACTCCTCTCTAGTCATTGTCTCAAAAACGTTTCTGAGAAAAAAATGTTTGAAAAGTAACAAGTAAGAGAAATTCTTTAATATATCTTTAAACAGCCAAAAACAGCCAATTTTCTTTAAATTAAAGCAATCCTTAACATGCGACAGAGTAAAGTGGCAACCTTGATAACGTTTAAGAATAGAACTTTCAACACGCTGTCTTTACGAAATGTCTCAAAAATCTCTGTAAAAATCCTAAAGCCACCAAAGAAAAGCTCCTTTCCTCATGACCCGAGAAACACGCGCAAGCCCGTCACAGGTCTGCGGAGAGCTCACAGGTCCCAGGCCTGCACCGAGCTCCCGGACACCGTGGGGACAGCTCTCTACAGGAAGGTGTGTGTGCAGGTGTCATGTTAGCTGCCAGCAAAGGAGAGCCCACGAGCCACGTGGAAAGCTCTGTGGAAGCACGGGAGGGGACGACTACTCCTGCCGGACGGTGGGGGACGGTCCTCTGGAGGGACACCCGGCGCAGACCACGGGTTCAGGAGCCGGCCAGCTCACCAACACGACAGTCCACGCCCAGGACACAGCACACACAGACCCGCGTGGAGACAGAGCTCAGCCGCTCTCTGAACGGCCACAGGGCACGGGACACAAAGAGGGGGGTACGTAAGGGAGTCAATCCCATCGGCAACGGTGGTCCGAGGGTTCCAGGGCGCGCTACTGATGTCCACGTCCTCAAAGAGCCTGCGCTGGAGATGGAGACAGGCCCGCGGGGGCCGAGAACTGGGGCTGAGGGCGATCTGAACAGGGCGGGAGGAGGGTGGTGGTGATTCTACCAAGGGAAGACACGTGAGCAGATGGGCTCATCCTGGCCGGTCGTGCCCAGGGTCCAGGGGACAGGAGAATCATGGGAAGCCTCAGGAAAGCAGCCCGGGTGACGCATATGCCAGCACGCGGGCAGACGACACGGTTTAGGAGGGGCGAGGCGAGGTTCCGGGCAGAGACGAGACACAGGAGGAAACATAGCAGCAGCAGCAGCAAGAGAGGAACCGTCTAGACAGGTGTGGAGGGAAAGCAGGGGGATGGGAAAGAAACACGAGGACATAGCAGCGGGAGGAGTGGGGGTGGGGGGCCTGGGAACCAGAGCCTTAGAGATCGAGTGCTGCTGAGCAAGGTCACACAGCCTTAAGAGGCCCTGGAATTTGGCGCGAGGGCCCTGCAGCAGAGGGTCCAGGAGTAACCGGCAGAGCTGCCCGCCCCCGCCCCAGCAGGATGGGCAGAGAGAGCTAGGAACAGCCCGGCTAGGCCTGCAGACAGCCGGATGGGGAGGGACCGCCACACGGCGACTTACGGTTTTTTTAAAGAAAGAGCCAAAGCCACTTGTTGGGGTGAAAGGGGAGATGGGGCATTGGCTACAGGTTGTCCGAGTAGAGGACAGGGACAGGAGTCTGCTAACCAGGTCGCAAGTCCTCAGCCTGCCACTTCAGAGCATCGAGAAAGGAGCGCGGCCCGGAGGGCCTGGCCACGCGAGCCCCTCCGCACTCCCAGGCCGTCTGGCCACAGCTCCGCGTCCCAGCGGACCACAGACAAACGAAACCCAGCCTGCTTTACAGAAACGTCCCTTAACCTCCCACGACCATCTGGCCGGGCTGAAACGCCTGCCACTCCCGCATGCTCCGTTCACACAGCTCCACTGGGTCCCAGGGAACGTCCCACTGGAGCCCGAAGGGAGGCCTGGAGACCCACCCTGGGGGTCTGTGGACTTTACCTCTTAACTCCTCTCCGGAACTCAAAGAGTTTCTGTCCTTCTGGAATGGAAAATACCCTAATCACGGTCCCCTGTGATAGGGAAAAAAGGAAAGAAAAAAGAATTTCAGCTGCGTAAGAGATTTTTCCTATTTCTTTCCTGCCAGACTGTAAATGAAACACGGGGCACGTCCTTCAATGACAGTGTGCCCGGGCTGGTGTGCAGGTGTCTGAGGCCCTCCGCCCTGCCCCGCCACAAGCCACCCGGGCCCTTTGCACACACACCTGCACACCTGTTGCCACGAGCACACGAGAACCCTCCCCTGTTCACTATTAAATCTTTAACAAGTCAACTCGCTTTAACTCACTATTTATTCTAAACACTAATAGCCTGGAGTCAAAAAGGTGGACTATAGCAGTTTTATTTTTTCTAAGTCAGCTGGGGTTTAAACTATTACAATCAAACCCTTTCAGCATGTACCCCGTGTGCTGGGAAGCACCCCGACTTCACAATCTGGTGAAGTTGGAGGCCCCACTGGTGTCCTTTGTGGCCACTGTTACCGACCCCGGGAACTGATTAGCTGGACGTGTTACCTAACTGCCTGAGACGGAACCAGTGCAGAGCTGCAGAACGGCGAGACCCCCACGGAGGAAAGTCCCACTGACCAAGACGAAAGGGGACATGGATAAACAGTGAGCTATGGCATCTCCCCGCTCGGAAGGAGACAGTTTGAGGATGTTGATCTGCCCCGCGCCCTCTATTTCCCACCTCTGGGAACATCCGTGGGGGTCTGTGGGTCAGCAGGACAGGACCTGAACATCTGGGAAGGTAAGAAGAGCCGAGGACTGAACCCAGATGGTGCTTTCACCCCCTGGATGTGAAAGGGACACCAGCAGGCCACCGCACTGAGACGGCGAGGAGGACACGACAGGCCCGGGGTGCTACCCAGCCGTTAGCAGGCTGCGGGCAGTACGCGTCCCTCTTTGAAATGGTCTTTAAAGATAGTCGACGCTCTCTGGACTGAAGGACACCAACTGAGTCTGTAATTCTTGGGAATTAGGGGCATAAAACAGTGCATTCATAGACAAAAATAACCGTGGGAAAAGTTCTGTCTTTTGTAGCCTAAAGTTTTAAATTTAGAGAGAGAGAGATATATATGTATTTAAAGGCATACCTACTGTGCAACATTAATTAACTACAAGTTGTTGGTCACAGATTGCCTGCAGTATCCTGAAGGCAAGATGAAGCCACACACGTCAGTGTGGCCCTGGGACCTAGTACACAGCAGGGCTAAGAGGACATTGGTGGTCTAATCCTGCAAACTAAGAGGATTCTGTTTAAAAGCAAATCAAATATAGCCCGGAAAAGAATTTCCATTTTTAATGACCTTGAAATTCCATAAAGTGCTTTAGCACCTTCCTGAGACCTAATAAAAACCATAAAGACAAGACTAATAAAAACTGTAAAGATAAGACTTTGATTAATCAAGAGATAACAGTTTCACGGCCATTTTGTTGCTCCCACGGGAGAAGAAAGGACCGGGTGACACCATGATGGCCCAGCACACTGTTTAAAAGCCAAGTCGGGCTTGGAGTTTGATCCCTCTGTTCTGCCCAGCTGGGCGACCCTGGGCAAGCTACTTAACCTCTCTGAGCAATCAGCAGAAAGCAGGAAAACGGTCCCCTTGCTGAGGGGCTCAAATGAGACAATGAACACAAAGGGTCTGGTGTAACTCGTGACCGAAGAGACCCATCAACAGTGACAGCATGAGCACAGCAACTGGCCGCAAAACTCAGGGACAGTGGCCCACGCAGGAGAGTGAAAGCGGGGAGCGGGCCCTCTGCACCGTGTCTGGATGGCTGGTTCGAGGTGGGGGCCCCTCAGGACGGAGCCTGTCTCAAAGTCGCAGTGAGGAAGCGTCAAGGCTACTGGAGAGCAGGTGCCGGTGCTCCGAAGGGAGGACACGCCAGGGGACTCATGTGGCCCCGACAAGGAAGACACAGAACGGACTTTCAAGGAGAGGGACAGCAGGAGGGTCCGCGCGTGTCGCGGGGGCCAGGAGGAGAGGTTCGGATGCGAGGGCTGCCGAAGCCATTCCGTCCTATGTAACCAGCTCTAGGAAAGGCCACGCATCCTTTTAACCCAGAACTTCTCTCTCTGGACTCTCTTATCAGAGATGCATAGAAAAGACTTACACATAAGGTTTAAACACACTACTACCTACAGCGTAAATATTATCATTAACACATGTTTGTTATCGATATATCCTAAATATCAGAAACAGTAAGTGTTGTAACAGGGTGATTAAATCACAGCTGAATACTATACAGCTGTTAAAAGAATTCTTTCCACTTAGCGAAATACAATCTGAGGCAGAGCGGAGAAAGGGGTAAATTACACACACAGCACGATCACAAGTTGGCTGAACGATCAGTAGAATGAAAGAGCGCGCGCTGAGACGTGTTCCGAGCAGCTCCGGACAGAGCCGAGTCTGTCTGACATTTCCCAGCACTTCCTAAGCCCTCCACCGCAGCCTGTGCTGGTGTCCTGACCACGTGCACTGGGCCAGTGTGTGGCTGTGCGTGGCACTCTGGTCTCCTCTGCCCGTGTCTCTGTCTCCTGTCACGAACACTCCCTCGGCCCCACTGTCAGGTGAGCGCCCCTCCCTGGCAGCACGTCTCACAGCCCGACAGGCGGGCGGTCGCCTCTGCCGCTTCTCTGTGAGCTGGTCCACGTGGAGCCGCGTCTGGAAACTCGACTGTGTGAACAAGCTGAAAAGCTCGCTGCAAACTCTGAGCCAGTCCCCCCCGGGCTCGGCAGGCTTACCTTCTCGGAAGCAGTGGCAAGCTTGGTTCCGCTGGCGTCGAAGGCCAGCGCTGCTAAAGGACTGTCGTGAGCCGGGATCATGTTCGCAGCTCTCTGGAAGGGTGAACCAGTGACCGGTGACTGTGCGCAGTGAGACTGCACAGTGCCACCACTGGCCGTGAGGCTGACACCAGTGAGCGGTCACTGAGGCAGGCTCCAGTTAACACGGCACGTGCGTTTGGTTTACCGGGGCCGAGAGGCTGCTCAGAGCCAGAAGGGAGGCGGAGCCCTTCGCCCGGAAGTGTGGCCTCGTGCCCTCCCCCAGCACTCGCTCTGCAGGGCGCAGCGCCCACCGCAGGCGGACCCACGAAGGGGCCAGCAGTGACGGCTGCACTGCTGAGCCAAGGAAACCGGGTGCCAGTGCCCCACAGCACCCCTGCAGGAACAGGGACGTCCGAGAGGACACTCACCAAGTTCACGGTGTCGAAGACCTGCACCTCCCCGATGGTGGCACTGCCGGGGTACGCCAGGTAGCAGTTGTCGTTGTTGATGGACAGTGCACACAGGCCTGTGGGGACACACGGGGGACAGGGCGGCGTAAGAGCCAGAGGGTTCCTTTGTAGCTGTTAGAACACAGAGTATCATCGAACAGGGCCCTGACCCAACCCCGGTCCCGGTTCCACACCCGACTGCCACCTTAGGTGACAGTAGGACTATGAAAACAGGTTAAAGGCCTCTGGGAAGATGACTGAACCAGTGATCTACGTGGTCACAAGACCAGCATCAGAAGGAATGGAGCTGGGTGGAAGGTCCATACGTTTGAAATGTGCCTATATCCGTGGGCCCTGTCAAGGAACAACCCTCTCCCCCACGGCTAGCTTTACAAGGCAGAATGAGAAGAATGCGACTCTCACAGCTAATTTACCTGCTGGGTTTGGGGGAGTCTCCCTGATCGTGTGCAGCACCTTCATGTCCCGAATGTTGTGTATATACAGAGACTCTTCCAGGCACACTATGAGCCGCTAGGAGACGACAAAAACGAAGAAAATCAGACATGAAGAAGGAGCCCAACCCACAGGCTCCCGACCCGATGCTCCGCGTGCCTTCTAGGACACTATGCAGACTGGTCCTCGTGGCAGAGGACGCTGGCCACCACCAGGCGGCTTTCCCGGCTGCGTGCTCCTCATCCACCGGTTAGGTGGTGTTCGGAGCCAGCTGTGCCTGTTCTGCGACACTTGTACTAGGACTTCCAACTCTTCGATTTCGTTCCACGTCACTGAAACTGGTCAACTACAGCTAAGAAAAGCATGTTTTGTTTCCTGGTTTGTTCTTGTTTGGCTTTCACCCCGCCCCTCATGAAAACTAGTTCGAGTGCCTCGGATGGGCTTGGTAATGAGAAACGTGTAGGATTAGGCACGGCAAGATAAAAGGAGAAGCCAAGGGATTTCTTAAAAGTATAAAAACTCATTCCGCACTCAGATTTTCCTGCAGGTGTCCAAGTTCCTGCTGCATTTAAAGATGGATGCAGCTGCAGCCGAGGCCCTGAGGGGAGGGCTGAGGCACGACAGACAGCCTGGCGCGCACGCGCCCTCTGCTACCTGGTACATGGAGGTACCTGGGGACATTTCAAGATTCAAGAGGGTTCAACGTGGTATGCCTCGTAATTTCCCATTTTAACGAACTTTTTCAGTCAACAGACCAATTCCCAGTTTCAGCCACATCAGTGGGCCTCCACGAAGACTGCTCCGCCCAGTCACTGCCCTTCAAGATCCACTAGTGGTGACATGTCTATCCCACATATGGCTGCTTACTCAGCCACCCCTGCAGAAAGCACTTTGCTGTGAACAGAAAATGCTGAAGGACCGGAGGACAGTGCTGCACTCTGTGAGCGAGCCTGGGCCACGAGAGTCCCGTGAATAAATGTGAGCGTGAGCTGCCACATCCACCCGCGGGACCCGACGTGTTTGTGAGTTTCCAGGAAGATGTAAAAAGCAGTCAGTCCTTTGTCTTAAATGAAAACTTAAATTATCAGTTTAAAATAAAAAAAAGAAGATGCTAAAAGATTTTTAAAAGCAACTGGGTCAAGGCAGAATGGTGGGCTGAGGCTAGCAGGGGCATGGCCCAGAGGACCGAGGGACCAGGAACGCCAGCCAAGGACCATTAGCTTTGTCCTAGAGGCGCCAGAAGAAACTAGAATGGCACGGAGGGTCAAAGCCATACCGAAAACCCGCAACATGGGACGGCGCGCACCTGACAATCTGAACCAAAAAGAGTTTCACTCACCTGCCTGTTCAGCTTCACAGCCAGGATCGTGTTGGAGTAGCTGTAGTTGCAGATCTCAGTTCCTTTCTTAAAGTGGCAAACTTTCAGCTTCCTAGGGGCTTTGAGGCTGACGATGGCCACCAAGCTGCTTGAGAACAATCTTTCCACGATGCACACATCTTCAGTGTCAGCTGGATAGGAAAAAAAAAATGTGTATCCATGTCAGCAGGCACAGTCTACTCACACATACAAACACGTGCCTAAGCGTAAGCTTATGCAGAGCAGAGCACCACAGGACTGCATGGTGGGCATCTGGTGACAGGGCTGGGCTGCGGGGACAGCCCCAGAGCAGCACAGAAGTGTGAAGATGAGCTCTGGGGCAGGCAGGCAGACCGGGGTTAAATTCGCCGCTTATAAGCCACAAACCAACCACTCTCAGGGGCTCCCTGCCGGCAAGCCCCCTGCATTCTGCAGTGAGAGTCACCCTCAGCTCCAACGTCACCTCCGCAGGGAGCCTGCCCCCACCCCACTCTGTCAAAGGGAGGCCCCCTAGGTCCTCGCACTGTCCTGCTCACTTCCTCCCAGCAGTCCCTGTAACCGCCTGCACATCTGCCCGCTGGGTGCCCCCACACGCACTCTGGAGGGTGACCCGTACGAGGACAGAGGCGGCACTGCCTGCTCATAGCTGTCCCTCTGGCCTTTACAATGGGGCCTGACCTCTGAGGGACCCCCAAATCGTCTTTGAATGACCCAGTCTTTCTCAGTCTTGTTTTCCTCACGTGTAAAGTGGGGATCACAACTACTCTATGGCACTATTAGGAGGGGATGGTGGGTACCGGCCCAGTCAGTGCTCTACCCCCACCACCTCCCTGCTCCCCACTTTAGGAGGGGACACTCCCTACTCAGAAGACTGGATTAAACACAATGTGCAGACAGCACAGTACACAGAAGCCCCAGGTGCTGTGGATGCTCCACCGACTGCCACACACCGGCTCTCCCGACTCTCCCTGTTTTATCGGTAATTATCTGGGGTTAAGTTCAGATCTAGAAGTAAAGAAAATTCTGGAATGTAGGAAAATTGCAGAGCAAGAGTCCAGATTGTTTCCATATGAAGCCTGTCTACCTGGGCAACAGGAAGTGCACCTGTGTTTCGAGCACATATTCATTCATTCATTCATTCATTCAACAATTCTCCTCAAAGTGATTCCCGATCGATGCAATCCCAAGCATAATCCTAGTCGACATTTTTGTTGGCAATAACAAAGTGATTTTAAAATCAGAAAGGCAAAGGATGTGGAATATCCAAGGCTCTCTAGAAAAACAAACAAACAAAAAAACAAACAAAAAAAAACAAGCCTAAGCTGAAGGGCTTGTACCTTGTCGACTTCAAAATTTAGTACATAAAGAGAGCTACAGTAAACCAGATGGTGTGCTCCCGATATAGAGATGGACAAGTAATCAATGGAAGAGAATAAAGAGCAGAAATAGACCCGTACTTATAGGATTGTTTTGAAGCCACAAAGCAACTCAATGAGGAAAGAAAAATCTTTCTGACAAACAGTGAAACAGGAATCCGTCAGGAAAAAAAATTAGCCCTGACTCATCATACTTGACATTATGCACCAACATTAATTTAAGATGGATCACTGAACTAAACATAAAAGCCAAAACTATAAAGTTTTCAAAGAAAACATTGGAAAATATTTTCATGACTTGACGGTAGGCAAAGGTTTCTCAGAAAGGAAACAAAGTAAAAATCATAAATAAAAAAACAACGGATAAATCAGAGTTCATCAAAATTCAACAGGTTTGCTCAAGACGAGCCAAGCCAGACAGGGAAAAAATAGTCACAAGACTATCTGACGAAGGACCGGTCTCTAGAATAGCTAAAGAACTCTGACAACTTAGGAGACTCTGGTAGTTTCTTAGAAAGAAAAATGAAACCTATGTCCACAGAAAGAGCTGTATGAGAATGTTCACGGCAGCTTTATTCATAACAGCTAAAAACTGGAAAAAGCCCAGATGTCCATCAACAGCAGAACGGAAAAACTGTCACATATCCATACACGCTTGACCCTTGAACGATGTGGGGAGGGGTTAGGGATGCCAACCCCCCTCATAGTGGAAAATCCACACATTTACTTTTGACTCTCCCAAAACTTACTACCCTCAGTGTCTGTGGGGGACTGGCTCCAGAACCCCCTGGACACTGAAACGCAGTGCTCCCGTTCCCTGGATGAGGTGACGCGGACCCACCCACGCAGTCGGCCTCCGCACCCGCGGACTCCCAACCACAGACTGACGACAGCACAGGTGTTTCTTGAAAAAACTCTGCAGAGACGTGGACCACTGCAGTTCAGACCTGTGTTGTCCCAGGGTCACCTGAGACATGCAACACTATGGATAAATCTCAAAACATGACGCTGAAAGAAAACTTATGAAAAAGTACACGCTGCGTTTCTATGACATTCTAGAACAGGCGAACAATCTAGTAGCAAAAACCCAGAACACTGCTGGCTTCTCAAGGGGTGGAAGGGAGCTGGGACTGACTGAGGGGAAGGGGACTTTCCGGAGTGGTGATGGCAAACCTTGATAAAGCGTTCAGGGTACACAGATATATGCATCTTGTCAAAACTCAAGAGTGTTTACTTAAGATGTTACATTCCATCGTATGCAAATATCACCTGAAAATAAAAAAGCAAAAACAATGAACTCCAGTCAGCGATACTCATGCTGAGCATTTAAGGGGCTCTCTCCACTGACGTAAAGAACCAAGGCCTAGGGTGTTTGCTTAGCTTTCCCACTCAACTATAACGTCGAAAAAGTTTTTGAAATTTTAATGATAAAAAGCAGATGAGGTCTCTTCCAGAATTTTAAAACCAGAGGGTGTGTGTGGAGGCAGCAAAGCTATTTTTAACTACAAATAGCCACTGATGAACGTCCACAGACCCATCACCGAGATTTAACGAATGTTAACTTTCTGCCATTTGGTTTCGACTATTTTTTTTTTCTGAAGCGTTGAAGAGAAGCTCATCATCCTGACATTTCACCCCTAAATACACTAGTAAGTACCCCTAAATAAAAAGGACAGGAAAAATATACTTGCCAGCTTGTGACTAAAAGTGGAAAATATCTAACATCACAATAAATTCCAGGTGGGTCAAGTATTTCACGTAAAACACCAAAGAGCTAGAAGATGACACAGGAGACTGTCCTGTGTGCTCTGGAACAGGACGAGCCTTTCTAGCGCTCAGAGGCCTTACAAGGGAAGACAAAAATACCTTTAAACATGCAGAAACTCAAGACTTCAGGACAGCCAAAAAAGACCAGAACCAAGGTCAGAGAGCCAACGACAACCCGGAAGAAATATCTGCAACCCACAGAAACAGCTAACTTGCTTTACGTCAGTAAGAGACAAATAACCCAACAGAAAAGCAGGCAAAGAAAGACACAAGCAATTAAAAAGAGAAAAAGCAAGTGACTACATTAAAAAAATTGAGTTCCACTTCAGTTATGATTTAAGAAATAAAGGCAACGAACACATTTTTTACCCCAGATTCGTCTCACAAGTATTAAAATATTTGCTAATGCCTCGTGTCGTAGGAAGTGAGGAGGCAGGTGCTAATAACCTGTATAAAAACAAATCGGTACTACCTTTTTAAAGGGCAATTTGGCAAGATCTGTCAATTTTAAGTGGTTTATCTGTTGATTCTCTCTCCAACAGCTGTACTCACAGGTGGGCAGAACACAGGTGCGCGCCCAGCAGCCCCACCCCTGCAGGTGTCTCTCTCAAGGGAATGCACAGGCCCGTCCACACGTAACCTGTACACAAACATCCACAGTGGCACCACTACCAACAGCCAGAGAGTGGAAACAACCGGAATGCTGATCAAAACAGCGAAATGTTATTGAACAGTAGAAAGAAATGAAGCCCTGAGACACGCCCCAGCACGCACGGGCCCCGAAAGTGTTCTGAGCGGGAGAGGCCGTTCACACGGGACTCCACTTATCTGAGAGGTCCGGAGCCGCAGCTCTGCAGAGGCAGAAGTAGATTAGCGCCTGCCCAGGGCCTGGCGGGCGCAGGGACACGGGAGCGAGTGCTAACGGACTCAGGCTTTCTTCTGGGGAATGATAAAACTGTTTGAAAATTAGATTTTGGTGGCTTGTAGGGCTTAGTAAATACACCAAGACTCACTGACTCGTACACTTTTGATAGCTCATTTTTATAGCATGTAAGTTACATCTCAAAAGGCTGTTAAAAAACCCCACACAGGCAGACTGTGGTAGAAATTTGAATTCTGGCCAATACATTACTACGTGACGTAAGAAGTACAGGGCGGCAGGGGCTGCAGACACCACGCTCTGCACCGTGAGGAAATGGGTGGCAGAGGCGGACAGGTGGCAGCAGCAAGGTGTCAGGGCGGACCCTGACTGGGACCCTGGGTCCTAGAACACGCCAGGCTGCAAGGAGTCTCTAATGGCCAAAGTCACATACCAGGTATTGGGTTTTCTGGGGAAAACGCCTGTAACTTTCATCAGATTTCCAAAGGAGCCAGGAACCAGAAAAGGCCGAGGCGGCCATCATCACCGGAGCCAACACATTTTTGTCACTACTTAAGAAGTAATAACAACACAAAAAGAGTCACTTCAGAGGCCCTTTAAGTCCTATGGACCGAACGCCTAGGTCTTTTCAGGAACAGACCTTTCCAGAAGCAGCCTGTCTCTATACATTGTCAGTGGCTCGGGGCTCACTGTCTTTCTACGGCACATTTTCATCATACCTCACTCTTGAGGGAATTTTTAAACACACGAGCATACACGGAACCCACAGACCAGAGCAGTCACTCCCCACTAAAGTGAAGGACACAGCTCAGCCCTCCCTTGGAGTAATGTCGCACGATGAATCGATGAATCGGGCCAATGACTGAAGGGCACTGCGATCAAAGGACAAGCAAGAGAAACAAGGCTGCACATCTGTAGTCACTCAAGATGGCCCCTTACTGAGACACCGGCGCCAGCGAGAACTCGGCCGACGGCCAACCAACGCCAGCTTCGGCGACCCCATGTCTGAGGCCTTGCCCTCCGGCCCGTTCTAGGTGGCCGCTGCCCCAGTCTCTGCCAAATGTCCTTCCCGAAGATGACTTCTTTAACATTTAAGAGACTAATTACTTGATTCGAGAAAGAATGTTGTTTTGCTTCTGCTAGTGCTGTTTAGAGCTGACAATGATGAAACTTCTGCAGTGGGAAGAAGGGAAGGACAAAGCCATGACATAACTGACGTCACACACTTCCAAACGAGCCTACCCGTCGGGTGCCTGGCGCTCTCCAGAGATGCGCGCTAAGAGCCCGATGCGGGCAGGTGTGGGCAGAGGGAGCCTGCCGGAGCCCTCCCCCGCACGGCCCATCACCCACGAATCTCCGAAACTGCGCCTCCAGCCGCTGCGGCCTGCCCAATCGCGACGGCCTCACAAAGCACCACTTCTCAAGCCGCACAGCGCAGACGGTGGCCTGGCGAGGCGAGGACCGTCGGCCTCTTGGGAAAAGGCGCTGTGTGTCTCCAGAGGCGCTTCCGTCAGGGAAGGAGTCTCTGCCACTTGTGCCGAGGCAAGAACAGTCGGCTCGCGTTTCGTTTCAGGATGGAATGCCTCATGAGGCATGTTTTCTGAGCTCAGAAACTTATAAAACGCAAGGATACACAATACAGAATCTTGAAAAATCAACTTTTCCTTCTAACCTTCCGTGATATTTCACAAAACAGTAAATCTAGATCCTTTATTTTGCCTAAGTGGGTAGGATTTCATTGCAGTAGTATTTCAGGGCAGAGAGATCGCATATTTGCATATTATTTATCCTCAAACTAACAAAGGACATAGAGAGAAAGAATGAACAGGCACACACAACGGGCAAAGCATACATGAGAGTTCTTGCAACTTTCCCTGAAGTTTGAAATTACAACGATATAGTTAAGAAAGATCTTCCACTGCCTCTGGGCAAAGGTTTTTCTCTTTAAACAAAAGAAGAACAAGCAGTTGTCAGTCTTGTTCCCAAGACCAGCCCTGGCTCATTCTTTCTGGAACGCGACAGGGAGAGCAAAGATCTGATTTTATGACAGATGGTCAAGAGTTATGAGGGATGAGCCAATACTGAGCCCGGGCTAAATTCTGAGGCATTAAGTACTAGTCTCTGCTCTGAGTCTATTTGTAGAAAAATGCCAGAAAACCACCTTGACTCAGCAGCTAATCTGTTTTCTAAGAGACATTCTTTTCTATAACTCAGTAAAAGTATGTGAAAGAAGGTAAATGAAGTTCTAGGAACAAAAGAATTTTATAGCTTCAGTTTGAACTATTAACCCTCAAAAAGTTCTATGTCCATTTCGTCACCCATTTTTTAAGGGCCAAAGTTCGCTAGGAAGAACAAAGAACTCTACACACCACCTCACCATGCTGGTCAGTAAATACCCACTCCTTCAACGAGGCTAGCAAGACAGCACATGGTGTTCCATCAAAACCCTTTGAAAAATGAGGCGCCAAAACCCAGCAAATAAACTTCAAGGATACATATTAGTAAGTAAATGGATTCGGTTGGGGAAGAGTGAAGACCAGGCTTGGTATTCTTACACCTTTCTAAGCACGGGGTCTCCAACTGGGGGGAAGGTCCGTGGATTTCCGAATAGATGATTCTAGTCACCACAGCCACAGCTTGCTAGCACCTTCCAGGCCCTCGTTCAGATGCAGATTTAATAAACATTTATATCACAGCTAAAGCCCAACAGACTCCTTTTTCCAGAGATGGGGCTACTCATCTAGAGAAATCTCCTACAGGGAGCAATCCTGTGTGGGGTAAAGTGCAGCCGGTTTGGAGAATTTCAAAAACACTCACACCCACCTGAGAGTTGAGCAAGCACACTAGTTCACAGCCACTTTATCACCCAGATCACACCTTCCAGCTACATACCAGGATGAAGGTTTTGAAAGATTTAGTAAGCATCAGGAGGCACATCTGAAGGCAAGAGGACTAAAATCCAAGGTGGCCAGCAGGAACCACCTTCAGGGACACTGATGTTAAGGATTCTGACTCCCCGCTGCCTCCCTATGAAGGTCACGGGGCCTGCCTTTGGGAGCAGGAACGAGCAAGGGACTTGCTGGGAAAAGTCAGACATGACCCCTAGGAGGTGAGCAGCGCCTGAGGGCTCACCTTTCCAAGGGAGGAGGCCAGGGCCCGGGGCATGGGGGTGTTCCTGGGAAGCCTCTGACCTCCCGTGGGCCAGGCAAATGCTACAATTTCAAGGAACCGGCAGAAATTGACTTTTTCCTAGTGTCTTCGCCTTATGTCAATGGAGGTGTAGGTAGCAATTATTTACGTCTGTGTTTGCTGGTCTTGTGTCCCCCAACGTCCACCAGACACCGATGCATTTACTTGTGCTCTTTCTCCACTGAAATGTCACGAGAGCAGGGACTTTGTGGCTATTGCATCTCCACAGGCAAAGCAGGGCTGGGGCAGAGCAGGTGCTCGACAAACATTCACGGAGCGGACGGAACCAGGAACTCCCATTCAGCAGTTACGCACGTGGGAGAGGGTGGAGGTTCCCATCGCACTCCCTGGGGGGCTGCACCCACCCCTACTTACTCAGCAGGGACTGCCGCACACACACAAAAGAAAACCAAAGACATCGAGGCCCAGAGACACTTTCCCACAGTCAAAGCTCATGACCCTTCTGGGAGTCCATGCTGCCTCTGAGATGTGCGCTACTCAGATTCCGTAAGGTGATAACTGAAGAAAACAAGTCATTCCTATGGGGCTGTAAAATCTTCAATTTTCTGGAAGCCCTTTGTGACCGAAAACTAAATGGTTTAAATGGCATTGAAAAGGGGGAGAAATTATAGGACAATAAATACCGTATGACGCTGTGTGTTGAAAAAACCCCATAAAACAAATATTTCTATGTGTACACTTATAAGTATGTAAGTCAACAGAGAAAGGTCTGGGAGGACACACACACACACACACTGTTCGCTGCTGTCACCCCTGGGTGGACCGAGGTGGGAGAGGAGTTTGGCCAAGGGCATCTACGCTTTGATCACAGTGTCTGAATTCGGGAATGCATTTCAATTCAAGGATAACTTGTCCATTTTTTTTTAAGAAGGGGGAAAAATAAAGCAAACACTTACTGCATTCATAGATCTGTTCCAGCTTATCCACAGAAGAAAGGGAGAAAAATTTATAACCGGACTTACTACCAACAGCTAGGGACCTGCAAAAAAGCCAAATTCAGAAATAAGAGCTGATACGTGTAGACAGTGATAATGCACAAACTAGCTCCATGTTACCAAATAGCAACCATCATCTCTAGCAAAAATTAGTACAAATCATTTCACATCGTGGTGGCTGAACGGAAAGGGTGGCAAAGGAAGATGACGTGCATCCCCACAGCCAGGAGGGAGGGAGGTCAATCAAATGAAGATCGATAACACTTTTATTTAACACTTCAAAAACATTAAAGCTAAGTTTGACATATAAATGAAAGTAATCAGCCCTAAATTAATGACCCCCTCAAAACGAAGTGGGGTTTCTCAGGTGAACTGATGTACATGCGTAGTCCATGTGAGATCCAAAAGTCAAGTGAGCTAACAGCACTAGTTAAACCAGAGATAAACAGGCATTTACAGCCCCGGTGGGTGGCGACAGCTGCCTGCGTTTCGGAAAGGCCGCAGCAAACATAGCTTACCCCTTATGCTGCGGCCGAGCAGTGACGGAAATAAAACGGACCAAAAAGCTAACAGAATCGGGAATCGGAGCCCGCACGGCTGGCGCAGACGGCGGAGGCGAAGGCTCATTTTCAGAGCCTCGCCTGAGAGCCGCATTCACGTCCCTCGCCAACACTGCAGCTTCTGCTGAGAGGCTCGGAGGGGCCTCGACTCTCCGGGTCCCCGAGCGCAGGAGAGCTGTGACACTGAACGGACTTCCTTGTCACGGGAGCACTACTCTCCAGAACGTGACTGACCACGGGAACAAAGAAGAAAGGCCAGCTTTCGGAAACAGAGAGGATGAGAGAACAGAGCAGGGGGTGGGAGGACATGCAGGGATTCGGACACGGGAATCGTTTCTGTATTTAATGTCTGCGGGAGCAGACGGTAAACCAGAAGACCAGAAGTAACAGAGGCTGCATTTCCGTTTCCTACCACGAGCACTTGCATGCCACGATGAAAGCAGGGCTATTTTAATGACCACTTCGTCTACTTAAAATTTGAGATTTCTAACCTCTCTTTCACACGTGTGTAGAAGAAATATACAGTTGACCTTTGAACAATGTGAGGGTTAGGGGCATCTGCCCCTGCACAGTTGAAAATCTGCACATAACTTTAGACTACCCCCCTAAAGTCAGCTGTCCCTCGGTATCTGGGGGGAACTAGTTCCAGGACTCCCACGGATACCAAAATCTGTGGATGCTCAAGTCCCTCATGAAATGGCGCAGAATGCACACACCCACGGTCGTCTGGACCTGTGGATGTGAAATGCGGGGCTACACAGGGCCCACTGCATATTCACTGCGCTGAAAAAAAATCTGCACAGTAAGTGGTCCTGTGCGGTTCGACCCTGTGCGGTTCGACTGTTCCAAGGGCAGCTGCTATAAGCACTCTTAAATTTTAAAACTGCAACTGCTTTTTCTTAGGAGTATAAACAAAAACAAAACTCTACCAGCTCACATCATTTTTCTTTGCCAAAATACTTCACTATATTGAATTAGTTATATTAATGAAGTAATTAGGTACTGTTACCTGTAAATACTTTGAAAAGTAATAAAAGAACCAACAGAGATACAAGAACATTCAGGAAGGCTAAAAATAAAATAAAACCTTAGCAACTCACAACTTTTGGGAAACTGGTGTTTAGGAAACGTTTTCCATTTAACTAAGGGCTGCTAGTTTAAGTACCAAAACCATTTCCCCACCATTTCGGATTTAAGAAAAATGTCATTCGTATTAAGAGCTTTCCCGTGGTTCTTAACACAAGGGGATCGCGTGTCCCTAACACCTCTCTGAACTCGCATCACTGAACGACTTCCTATCCTGTCCTAACACAGTAACCCTCTCAGGCCCTAACGAGTTGAGTTTTATGGGCCTACAGCACATGGCTAGACTGTAGTACTGAGTTTACAAAAATATTTTCTGCCTTTGGTTTTGCTGACAGTTGTTCCTTGTGGGCCTACCATCATTAACAGCCTCTCTCCCTTTCTAATCCCTTGACTTCGAAACCAAATCACTAAGCTTATTAGTATTACATATAAAATATGCCTAGAAAGGGCTTCTTCCATGAGCAAAATAACGAGCATTAAGTAATTAACGAGAACCGGGATTTTGATATACCCAGGTTCTCAGATGTGCTCCAAAGAGGTAGAATTTGTTAAAACTGATCAAACATCAGAACGTTGGTGTTCTCTGGATATTAAGAAACTGCTTTAGGGTATTAAATATCTTAGCTAGAATTTCAATTGCATGGTTTACAAAACTGACTGGGCATCTCAAACAGGAAGAAACGTAAACAAAAATATTTCCATTATTTTTTGACATGTGTATATAGTATAGTATAATTTTATCAATAAAGGTAAGTATTTTTAAAGGGGGATATTAAATGTAAATAGGCTTGATCTTCTCAGCTCAAATACCAACAATCAGGTTCACACCCTTCTTCGGAGGTTCTGCTTTTACCAATTTCTCATGAGTCACCTGACCATACAATGGCGTTTTAGTGGGAGAGGTACAGTAAGAGATAAGTATGAGATTCCACTAGTAAATCGTCTTATTCCCCAATAAATATTCATGTGGTTTTTTAAAAATGTAATTTAATGAATATCTTTTATTAACAAAGGAAAAACGAGCAAACCGTGACAGAAAAAAGGATATATTCGCCGAAGCCCCCACTTCACTACTATACTGCTACCTTCCACTGTCTGGCGTCCAAATGCAGGGACCCTACTGTGCCTTCTGGGGAAAGAGCTTCATCAGGGCAGGGGAGAGGATACTTCTGGAACATACTTTGAGCCAGTCCTCTACCTTCATCCCACACCACCTCACCGCACTTGTAGCTTCCCCAGACTGCAAGCCCTCAGGTGTCTGGGGCTGTGGTGTAAACTAGTCGATGCTCCGCTTCCCCCACTGAGCAATTCAGGGCGCCCCGTCCTTTGCCACCTCCCACAACTAGCGCAGCTTCCACAACTACACTGTGCTGCTGTTTCCTGTCGCATTCTCACCTCACGGGTTTAAGCCTTTTAAAACATCTTTTAGGCATTTTGTTGGCTGACATTTTATTAGGGTTTTGGAAAGGAGCCAAAATAAATGCTTGTGTTTGATCCACCATTATTAACTGCAAGTCTGTCACTAAATTTAAACTTAAGTGTTCAATATCAGAAAGACAGTGATTTCCACTAAAAAAGTGAAAATGTGAATCAGATCTTTTTCACTCCATTTCCTTCTCTGTACCCAGTGATCAGTCCATACAGGCTTTTTCCCTTTGTATCACCTCCTTCCTCGAAGATGTTAAATGGACACAGTCTGTGCCCATAAAAACGAACACACCTGGCAGGTCCTGGAGCCCTCCTTGGTAAGTTTATCGCCACCACAGGCCCTTCCCTCCAGCTCACGTCATTTCCGTCCCCGACCTCCACTGGGAAATCACTGAGGCCTTCAAACGCCACGGGCATCCGAAGCAGGGCTCACCATTTTCCCCTAAACCGAATCCTTCTCCCTAGTGTCACCTGTTTTCCCAGAACCCAAACCAGAGAGCTGGGGGGTAACCTTAACTTCTCCCTTAAAGACATCATATGTCCCATGGGCCATACCAGGTCCTAACGGCTACGTCTCCTCTCCGCTGGCCACTGCTGTTGGACACCAGCCTCCTCAGTGGCTGCCCCACCCTCCTCAAACACATCCTCTGCATGGCAGGGACGGTGGCCTAAGTCTTTAAGGTCGAAGGGGCCTTAAAAACTTTCCACTCCCAAGCCCCTCAATTTACTGATGAGGAAGAGAAGTGGCCTTCCCACAATGACTATAACCTAAACCTTGACTGAAGACAGTGGTGCAGTCAGACGGGTGTCTCCCAGCGCCTTTACCCTCTATACCTGTAACTCTGCTACAAACAGAGGACTTGGAAAATCAAGTCTTTCTTTATTCCATCCCTTTAGAAATGCAGCTCAAAGCAGACACTGCAATCACCTCCCACAAGCTGGGTAGTACCTACTGGAAGGATTCAGTCCTTGGTACTTTCATTTGAGGTCCAAGTGATACTCTGTCACTTATTAGTTACCTTCCATTTCAATAAGCCAAAAATTCCTCCAACATAAACCTTCTGAAGTGTTACTTTCGGAAACTAGGATTGGAACTGACCAGGTAAGAGCTAGGGGACCGAGATCAGTGGCTTTTGGTGCTTTTCACTGCCTAGTTAAAAAACAAAATAAAACAAATGGTAGCAAGCAAATAAAACTTATTCACACTTTTAGGACACGAATCGCAGGGGAAAAAAAAATATTTGAAACGATTACCAGTACAAAAAGAAAAGCAGGATAATTTGATATGCAAGAAATATTGTTGTTAAAATGTGAATCCAAGATGAATACGGTTTGTCTTGAGAAAAATCATGTTCCTCTACTACAATTCTGGAGATGGGCAAGGGAGAGAAAGGTGTAAACTGTAAAGCCCTTCTCCAGGAATGTCTGCATTTCTTTCAAGTGTAGATTTAAAAACGAATTTCAGTCATTTTAATCAATAAACTTTTAGTACAATCTTAACTTACTATTTCTTATAATTTATATTCATCCTACATCAAGGCCTCTTTGGCAAATCAAAATTATGACACGGAAATCTTCTCGACCTGATAACTTCAGGGCTCACACAGGAGGGGGAAGACATGATTTCCAAATGGTCTTTGGAACGGTCTTTTTGCAGACCGGAGTGACGTTCTTCGAGTATGTAGGAAATCTGGTAGCCCGTTTGAAGTAACAGCAAAAGAGAATGCTTCCTCGTATCTGATTTCCTTCCAATATAAATGGTGACAAGTGAAAAACAGAAAGGATGGTAGAGAATGTTTTCAAAATTCTCTCATTTATACAAGACGTAAAAGACCATCAAGCTACTGGTTCTTACTGGTCTCAAAGTCCCAAGGACTTAAAAACTGAGTCACAGTGGGTTTGAAATGTCCTACCTGGATTAACACAATATAGCCTACCCCAATCATAACCACCTGCAACAGGTTGTCCAAATTGTTTCTGCTGTAGCATCTTCTGGCCACATGGACCACTATGGTATTTGGTTGATTTAATCTTTAAATTTACTCCCCTTAAAATCCTACTCTGTAAGCAGAAAAGGCAGCATGGCAGAGAGAAAAAAACACTGGAAGAGAATTCAGGAAACAGATTCTAGTCCTGTCCCTCTTGCCAATAACCAACTGTGAAAGCCAGGCTCAGCTCTGAACACGGGTGTCCTCACGTGCAGGAGTAGGTGATGGCTCCCTTCCACCGCTCCCTACATCCCACTGTGGGGCTGTCTGCACTAGTCTCACAACTTTGGGAAGATGCTGAGCGCCAGCTGCATGCCACACACCTGGGGCTTGCGTTCCCCTGGACCAACTCAACCAACTACTCAGTAGGAAGCCAATAGCCACGCCTCCTCCTCCCTGACATCACTTCCTCTTACTCACTTCCCAAGATGGCTCTCCTACCTTCCAGGTCCACAACTCATCCTTCCCGCTCCAGAAACTATCCAGTAACTATCCTCACGGGTCACCCGAGACAGCCTCTGAAGAATCGGCTTCAAACCCACGCGGGTTTGGACAAACAGCGTTCCAAACCCATGGGTTGGCATCAAGGGCCTCTCTTCCCCTGGGGACAGCCCATTCCCTGAAGCGCCAAGACTCCTCAGGTGTTTCTCTGTCGCATGCCCCTTGGTTCGGTTTCATCCCCGGTGGGAAGCCAGGATTATTCTAAGTTTGTTTCTCGCTCAGGGACGACATCAAAGTTTCCTGCCAAAAAGAACAGCGAGACACGAAGAAAAGCAAAGCGGGGAAAAAGGCCCTCGGATGAGGAGACAAGGATTAGGGTCTGAAGAGGGGAAGAAGGGAAGAGGGGAGAGAGGTGAGGGAGGCGGGGTATACGGAGGAGACCCAGTGCCACCGGGGAGGCGGCCGGGACAATAGATCAAGCCACAAAGTTCGGCCCAAGTTTGTGAGACGCGGGGTCCAGACAGAGAACGCCTCCCGCCGGGCGGCCGCAATACCTCCTCATCTCCATCACTGTCCCCACCAGAGAGCGCAGCTCAGGGCAGCGCCCAGAGGGTCCCTAAGGAGGGCGCCCCTCGCTCGGCGCGCCTGCCCGCCCCCTGCCCTCGCTCCAGCCCCCGGCCCGACCCCGACTCCGGCTCGGCCTTACGTGATGTCCTGGTTGAAGTTGGCGAACAGCAGCTGGCGC